CTAACTTAGAGTTTACTACTCATTATGCTAGTGTAATATTGTTTAAAAAGGAAAATAGAAACTTTCATGAACAATGTGTTCCCTATTTCAAAACCTGTATCATCTGTCAGTGAGTACCTTCAGCCATGAAAAGTATGTAATTCCAAAAGGGCCTACAGAAAGCACCAAGGCCCATGGTAAATGCTGCTGCAGGCTGATGCTAATCCTGTAAATAAATGATTTGATACTTGACAAATATGGTGTAGCTTTTTCGAAGGAAAAACTGTGCCTGTTCTCCTATGTGGATGCAATCTCACTATAGCAGCTTCAAGTGGGCAGAACCAGAGTCATGCCACAAGTTCATTAACAAACCAAACATTTTACCTACCAGAGCACATTCACTCTGCACCACTGTTATATGTAGGCCAGGAAAGTCCCTCTCAGAACTGATCTCAGTCATTAAGGAGAGAAAGTCACTGATGTATACACCAGTTTTTCTCCAAACTAGATTGAAGGGATTTAGTGATACTAACCTAAGTCAACCATAATGCCAAAAATACTTTTCATGTTGCCAATTCATTGTTGGCTCTTCACCCATTGCGGGGGAGAACACCTCAAGTGAACTTGCAGCAATTCAGATATTTGCGAACTAACATTTATAACCTTTTTATGCAGCTAAGATTCACTCTTCCTAGAACCAGTCAACACTTGTTTTAAAATCTTTTCAGAGTAAGCTGGGGTCATAAATAAGCAACTACTCAGTAGACACCTCTACTGTCATGGAAACAGAATACTGCAGGTCCCCTGTAGGTCTTTTCTTACATTCTGATTCCTATCTCCTAGTGGCTTTTACACTCATTGTGGCAACATCTACTGTGAAGTTTTCTCCAGAGCCATCATATCTTCTCTTGGAAAGATCTCCTACTTCATATGCTTCACCCTTTGTATCTTCTCTGTTTATAGGAAAGGCAGGCAGTACAGAGTTTCACCTGCATTGAACTAAAACAAAAAACACTGAAACACAGATACATGTCCCTAATGAGACCTGGACACGATCGTTAGTGCCCTACCTGACCCTGTGAGGTTGCAAGACTGTGAAGGGCAGTGGGTTTTATCCACATCATCAGTCTGTAGACATGTAGCTAACATTAATGTGTCCAGCATACTAACCAAAAGCTTTGGTTTTGGAGACAAGCTTCCTGGATTTAAATTCCAGCTTTGTCTTTTACCAGCTGTATGGCACTGGGAAAAATCACTTCAATTCTCTGAGCACCAGTTTCCTCATCTATAAAATGAGGAAAACCTATTTTACAAGGGCTGCTATGAGAATAAACTGAGAAAATCCTCATCAAGAATTTGGAACAATTTCTAGAACATAATCACAATAAATAACTAATTATTATTATGAAGTAGATATACAGATGAAATAAGAACTGATATTTTAGTAAGGTTATGATGATGTTCAGTTCCCCAGATTTTTTTTTTTCCCCTCTATATTCTGCTTCTGAAAGTAGTTCAGATCAGTAGTTTGGATTTATTTTCCAAACACTGTGTAAGGTGGTGTCATTCTGAAGGGAGTGTATTCAGCTATGGCATCTGGAAAATGCACGCTGAACAGGACACTGCTTCACCCAAACCGTGCAACTCTTTTATTCCTCCTTCACAGGGGAGACTACAGGAAGTGATTTTTAACTAACATTTTTCTCTTTAGATTTTTAACTTCTCAAAACACTTTTCCCGTTGATATAATTATTTTTCTTCACACAGAACTTATCATATGCCTATCCTCCCCACACTAGCTAATATTGCTTATGGAAGAAAAGAATGAACTCTTTAACATGAGCTTCAAGGCCTCTGCAGTCTGGTCTTACTTAGCCTGTTTCCGACTTCTATTTGATTACTTTCCATCACAAACTTGATCTTATCAGACTTGATTATTCACCTACTTCATCATGCATTTGCATATGCTCACTTGTTCATTTATTCTTTTCATTCATATACTTTATACTTGCTTACCATGTGCCAGAAACTTTGCTAGGTGTTAGAGATTAAAGATTTTTAAAAAATGCACAGGCTTATTTGCATGTGCAGAGAATGAGCCCAATATGCAAAAGAGCAAGCAGAGATGAGATACAAATTTAAAAAGGAGTGATTCCCAGAGATGCTGAATTTCTATATCAGTCCTTGAGGCCATGGTTCCGGTGCACTTCCTTCATTTCCACAAGTGACTGTCACACATCTCAGGCACATGAGCCAATGAGTCCCTACTTGGTGTTAGTGGGTTTGAGTTGGGTATCTGCCAGTTTCAACTGAAAGAGTCCTGACTGATACCTCTACCACATTAAGAACTTGGATGCACATGGTAAAGCAATGGGTGCACAGAGAAGTTTTAAGATGCAAAATGTTTTTAAATGGATGAAAATGTTTTAAGGGATCGAAAGTACATTCACATAGCAGTTCCAGTGGACTGTACAGAAGACAGATTTGAGGGAGACCATTTAGGCACCTCTTATGCTGTTCAAGAATTTAGACCTTCATCCTTACAGGATTTCTGACTATGGAAACAGTCCACCAAGGCCCAGCTCATTTAGTGTCTTTCTGATCTCACTCAGCGGCACGAATGGTCCTTTGTTGTCCAGTCCTGCAGCAGTCACCTGTACCTCCAACACCAGCAGTGCATTAGAATCACCTGGAGGGCTTGTTAAAACTAGACTGCTGGGCTCCACCCCAAGAGTTTCTGATTCAGTAGTTCTGGGGTGGGACCCAAGGATTCAGAAAGTTCCAGGGGCCACACTTTGAGAACCACGGCTCTAACACATTTCATTGTAGCTGTAGTCTAGATTGTTTGCTCATCAGCATCCTCTGCCAGATTAAAAGTTCCTGAAGGATTGATTTCCTTATTCATCTTTGTAAAATTCTCAGAAACTAAAATAATGCTTTATATAAAATTGGTATTTGATAAGCACTATCAAATAACTGCAGAGATAAACATTTTACCATAATATAATAAATTCCCTCAGATTCCCTCAAGACATGAACTATGCAACTAGAGAAAAGACGGAAAGGCATCATATATCCTGGCTTCTTTTGGGCTAATTTTGATTATACCTCTAACTGATTTCTTGTAATCCTTAGGCATAAAGGACAATGATTATTTTCAAATATAAGAAAGCTTGATGCACATGATCCTAGAGAAGTTAAGACAAGCATTTTGCTTCCTCCTGCATGTGTTTCTATTTCCTCTTGATTTAGTTGGCATCTGACAGCCCAGGGGAAAAAACATTTCAAGCATTTTTCATCCTATTATTTAGAAATGCTGATCAAATTAACTTCTTTGTAGCTATTCTTATGGCAAGATAGTCTGTCCCTTTAGGCTTTATTGCCTTATAGCTATTAAAAAACACCTAGGAATAAATTTAAACAAGGAAGTGAAAGATCTGTACACTGAAAACTATAAGTCATTGAAAACACAAATAAATGGAGAGATATTCCATGCTTGTGGATTGGGACAATTAATATTGTTAAAGTGTCTATATTACCCAAAGCAATCTACAGGTTCAATGCAATCCCTATCAAAATACCAATGGCATGCTTCACAGAAATAAAAGGAACAATCTTACAATCTGTACGAAACCACAAAAGACCCAAAATAGCCAAAGCAATCTTGAAAAAGAAGAACAAAGCTGAAGGCATGACGCTTCCTGATTTCAAACTATATAATAAAGCTATATTAATCAACAGTATGGTATTGGAAAAGAAAACATTATGGATATTGGCATAAAAATAGACACATAAATCAATGGAACAGGATAGAGAGCCCAGAAATAAACCCATGCATATATGGTCAATTAATTTACAACAAGGAGTCAAGAATATACAACACAGAAAGGAAAGTCTCTTTAATAGATAGTGCCGGGAAAACTGAACAGCCACATGTAAATGAATGAAAATGACCACTCTTTTACACCATACACAAAAATTAACTCAAAATGAATTAAAGACTCAAAACCATAGAACTCCTAGAAAAAAACATAGGTGGTAGGCTCTGACATTGGTCTTAGTGGTGATTCTTTTGGATTTGACACCAAAAGAAAAGGCAGCCAAAGAAAAAGTAAAGAAATGGGACTTCATCAAACTAGAAAGCTTCTGCACAGCAAACCATCAACAAAATAAAAAGGCAACATACTGAATGGGAAAGAACTCATACAACTTAATAGTAAAACCAAACAATCCAATTTAAAAAATGAGCAGAAGATCTGAATAAACATTTTGCGAAAGAAGACATATAAATGGACAACAGGTACATGAAAAGATGTTCAACCTCACTAATCATCAGGGAAATGCAAATTGAAACCACCAGATACCACCTCACACCTGTTAGAATGGCTATTATAAAAAAGACAAGAGATAACAAGTGTTGGCAAGGGTGTGGAGCAAAGGGAACCCTTGTGCACTTCTATTGGGAATGTAAATTGGTGCAGCCACTATGGAAAACAGTATGGAGGTTCCTCAGAAAATTAAAAATAGAACTACCATATGACCCAGAATGCCACTTCTGGGTATTCACCTGAAGAAAACAAAAACACTTATTCAAAAAGATATATGAATCCCATGTTTATTGTAACATTATTCACAATAGCCAAGATATAGAAACAACCTAAGTGGCCTTTGACTGATAAATTAAAAAAATGTTGCATGCACACACACACATACATTTATTATTCAGCCATAAAAAATAAGGAAATTCTGTCTTCTGTGACAACACAGATGGACCTTGAGGGCACTATGCTATGTGAAATAGGCAGAGAAAGACAAATACTGTTGGATCTCACTTATATGTGGAATCTCAAAAACCAAACAAAACCAAAATCAAAGATACAGAGAACAGATTGGTGGTTGCCATAGGCAGACCAGGGGTGTGGGGTGGGGGAGCAGGGTTGGCAAAATAATTGAAGAGAGTCAAAAGGTGCATAGAGATAAGGGGGGCGGTGGTGGTGGTGGTGACTGCAAAGTGGCATTACCTTAGGCATCCTGTGACGTTGTAGAATATATCAAAATCGAGCAAACCATTTGCTTTGGGGTAGTCTCCCTCTGGCCACCCCGAATATGGGATGATGATAGTCTCAGTCAGGATAAGCAAGGCTTCTGTTATCATGAGATTCTTGAGTTTGTCATTAGAGGACAAATTCCACAGCAAACCTAGAATCAAAACAGGGCAGGGTTCGGTCAAAATGACTGCTGAAAAGGTCAGTTAAGGCCATTACCCCTAGGACTATGGTTAGTTATAAAAAATAAGAAGTGGGGGACAGAGCCCCATGTCCATTGAAAGAATCTGTTTAGAGCTCATTAGATGGCAACGGAAGGTGATCCATAAGAACAATTAAAAATATATTGGGGGGGGGGCATATAAAACTATAAAACTATGGCAGGTCTAATCAGGAATGTGAATGAAAGCCAGGAATCTTTAAATGTTTATTGCTGTTTCTCTTTAAAAAAGCTGAGCTCATTGAGATGATAAATTCTGGGCTCAGCAAAAGGAAGGCTTGAAATGATCCCATTGTAACTAAGACTTCAACATTTTTAAAGGGTCATATTTTTTCTCCCTTAGATGCATAGATAGAATACCTTCCTCGGCCTCCTGCTCCCCACTACCTGCAACTTCTACCTGATATTTGTCTCTCCAACAGCAGGAAGGGCCTGCAGAAAGCCTTTGACTAGCTCCTGGCTGTTGATCAACATCAGCAATTAATATTTATTGACTCCTACCCACTGATAGATTTTATGTCCTCCTGGAATTTAAGCTGGCTACCTCACATATTTCTTACATTATAGTCTAGTGACATTATATTATAGGAGTGACAAGAGTATTTTATCTACCTGTCAACTTGCATGCCCCAAGCATTGGTCTAAGACTGGTACCACATTTACTCATTTAACTTTCTCTTCCTCTTGAATTCCCCTCTGCAACCCACCCCCACCCAAGAGAAAGGCCAACTCAGGGAAAATTAAGATACTAGGACACTGTACTTTCCAGGGCGTTTGTGAGACTGAAGCTGGGTAGTGAGAAAGAATACAAAACGGCATATACATTTAGCAATTGTTTTTCTTACATATTCGGTGCTCAAATACTTCTGATTCAGTGGACGAACTATACACCTATTGTTCACTATTCCCATGACTCTCAGCAGGTATAAAGTTGCCTTACAATCTTTCATACCTCAGTAACTTACTATAGCTCACCAGCGTCCAGGAAAGGACAAAGAGAGAGGGGACGGAAAGAGAAGGGATATTCATTTTCTTCCCTAGTCACGCCCCTACCACCCGGTCAATAACGCCTACTTGTTAAATTTACTGCTTTGTCAGAACAAGAGAAGAGGAAGCACAGGTATACAGGGCAGTCGACTTTATGAGAAAAGCAAACATGGCAACCTTAGCTGGATTATGTGGTGATATCACCGCCCCTAATTTTAGTGACTGAAATAATAGCCTGTACAATTAAAGCTTGGTGATTATTCAACCCTACTTGTATTTGGCCTGTCAACTAGAACACTCTAGGCCAATGCAGTCTTTTGCGTTTAAACAGTTTACTTTGGCTGTGCACAAGTAACCAATTCCTAAAACAATAACCAAATAATAACCAAATATCCACTGCAGCCCACACTTCAGTTTCCCGTAGATACAGCAACACTGGGTCTTGGGTCTTGTAAGGACTAGAATTTTGGCATACGAGGAGGTCTTTTCCTGATCAAACTAGCATTTGGGGTTAGTCATCAGCAGTGTCCCTCAGCCACAAGTTTTGCAACCAATGACTTCATCCCTCCCATTTCATCTAAGAGGCCCTGGAACAGGGGAGAGACAGAATCAAACTCCGAAGGTGGTTGCAGACAATTAAAGGCAGGTCTTCTGAGGCTGAGTTTTGGTTACTAAGCTACAAAAGAAAGTTAAAAAGAAAAGAGAGAAAAGGAAAGAAAAAAAAATGCTTCCTGTTCTAAATAAGCAAACAAATTAAGAGTCTCTGCCTGCGGGGAGACTTAAAAGTGTGAAGCATAATGACCTTTCCTCTTTTTAAAAAGGACCACACAGGGCACTCAAAGGAAAAGTACACCTTACAATAAAAACCAGACAGGATTAATTTGAACAAAGGGAGTGGAATTTTCCTTCAACAGTCCATGTCTTTTATAGCTTGGTAGGCAATATTATTTCTACACAAGTATATGGTTTAGGCATTTTGAGTATAATTTTTACTATAGGATATTGTATAGAAATGTCACGCCTGTCAAATTTCTGTACAGCATGAAGCTAGGAAAGCTTAAATGTTCACTAGAGGTTCGAGATTATACATATTTACACACACACACACACACACACACACACACACAATCTATACATGACCAATTACGAATTGTGGAAATACGTATGACAATATGAGACAAAGAGTTAATACCCTTAATATACAGAGTTCTTTCAATTTTTAAATCATTAAAAATTCAATGACTAACAGAAAAATTAACCCAAAGCTAAAAGATATTAGAGTCTAACATACATATGAATGCATGTTCTCTAGTAACTAAAGAAATGCAAGTTTAACAGCTAGATATCATTTTCTGTGACCACAGGAGGCGAAACCAGAACCAATGAGTGGAAATACTCGAGGAAGATTTGGGCTTACTGAAAGTATAAACCAAGAGAGCTCTGAAGAAAACAGATCTGCTTGTAAGGTCCAGCTGTATCACCAGTGCCGATAAAAATGAGCTCATCCTCTACCAAATTATCAACAAAAATGTTTTCTCCCAAAACTAGAGTGTTAAACTGGACTAGCTGTTTCCAAATGAGCCCAGTGGCAAATCAGCATCACATATTCCTGGGCCCCACCCCAAATTTACTGGGCCACAATCTCAAGATGAATTCCAGGAATTTATATTTGGAAGATGATTCCCATTTTTGGCATTGGGAAACCAATGAACTAAATGACCCTGAATAGACGTCCCTTTCAATCATCTGATTCTAGATTCCCTGGTATAATATTTAGGGTTGAGGTTTTCATTTGTCTCACCTTTAACTTCTGGGTCAATTTATTCACAGTGCCTAAATTTCAATTCTTATAGTTCTTTGTTGCAGCTGATCTGCCTGTCATTTTGTATCATTAAACTCTCATTCTAGCCAAAAAAGAAAAAGAGCTGGATTCTCTAGTAAGAGATATACTTTGAATAATTAGCAATCATATAGCCACATAATCCAAAAATTTAATGCCAACTGTGATATTTGCAAAACATAGCTAACTAAGTAAAGGGATCTTATAGATATTAAAACCCATGTTGTATTAATATTGCCCTCTAGGACTGGAAGGATAGTTATTTAACTAAGTCTGCATGACATTTAGGTAACAAAACTTGCAAATTTTATCCTCAGTACAGAAGAGAAGGGGGAACACTGTTTTTTTCAACTTTGCTTTTCAAAGTGATCACAGAACAGGAGGATTTTATTTATTTATTTATTTATTTATTTATTTATTTACAAATTCCTTTCTATGGATATACTTCTCCTTTCACCTTATTTTTTGTAAAATTTACCTGGAATAGCACATTATCACAAAGGCCATTTATTCCAAGTTATAAATAAACCCAAGATACTTTGTTGAACATTACAAATGAAGAATAAAATAATATAGGGCTAGCCAAGTGGCACGTTGGTTGAATTGGCTTGGGACGCTAGCTCTAAGCAGCAGGGCCCCGGTTTGGATCCCATGAGGGCCAGTGATGCTGCGCCCTCTACAGCTAAGATGGTGAACAACAGCTCGACCTGGAGCTGGGCTGCCCTGGTTTGCCGGTGATGGTGTAGGCTTCAGTGGAGCTGGCCAGCAGCTGGCATGAGCTTTTGTGAGCTGCTGTGAGCGGCCATCCAGAAGCCGGTGACTGATCTGTCTCACTAGGGAAGAGCGCAATGATAATACCAACATGGGCCAGTGAAGCGACGTCCTCCACAACTAGACTGAAGAACAAAAGGACAGCAACTTGTCTGTTCCC